CGTGTGACACACAAAGTTTTTATATTAAAAATGAATGAATTGGGAGAATTGAAAATTTTGAAATCGGTATTGCGGATCTTTTATCACGTGATACTAATAAAGAGAATGCAACGTGACAAACCTATTTTAAAACACGTGACTGTAAAAATTTTATTGCATTTTTGATTGTGAATTTTTTCCCAAATCAGTCACTGTGGCGCAGAAAGTTGTAGGGACTATATAGGTGTCCTGCACCATATACAAAATAAAATTTTTTTTTGTACACATTTAATTTGTGTCACATGATTTGATCATAAGTTTCGATCTAGCAGATCTCTTGATTTAACAGATAAATTTTCTGGAAAAAAATATCCGTTAAATCGAGACTCACTGTGTACCTCATTATAACAGATCATTGAGGCCAAACCAATATGTTCATTATAACGAGGTGTGACTGTATCATATATAGTAAATTTCGTGTTACCTACACTCTACCCTTAACTTGTATGGTTGGTTCAGCCTAAAAACTCCTATTGCTGTGCCATGCAGCCAAATTTCAAAGTAGCAATTTTGTAATTTGTTCAAAAATGTAATAAAATTTTCATTGAGGCCAAACCAATATGTTCATTATAACGAGGTGTGACTGTATCATATATAGTAAATTTCGTGTTACCTACACTCTACCCTTAACTTGTATGGTTGGTTCAGCCTAAAAACTCCTATTGCTGTGCCATGCAGCCAAATTTCAAAGTAGCAATTTTGTAATTTGTTCAAAAATGTAATAAAATTTTTCAAAAAATAGGACTTCACTTGAATTTAGTTTTCTTCCTGCCAAATTGAGATACAATAGTCAAGAGCTAGTCTAAATTTGGCAACATTTTCCTAAATTTAGAAATGATCATAGTGGACAAATTCCTCAAGAGCATATGGTGCGGGTCATCTAAAGACATCAAATGCTGTGCCACACTGCCAAATCTTCAAATCCCAAAATAGTAATGATACTCTTTTGTGTCACGGGATTATAACATCACATGACTCATTCGTTAATTAGTATTATATAGCAATGTTACTATTACTATTGCTATTACGAATAATTCATAAATGGAAACATTATCCAGGGTCCTGGTCAGTGTTGAAATTTCGTTGTGTAACCAGTACAAATTTAGAAACTATCTCCAAAAATTAAAAAGTTGATTGGTGTGTAATGTTACACCCCCACATTCCCCACACCGAATTTTCAACACTGGTCCTGGTAAGAGTAAACAAGCATAATACTATATATATAAAATCTAAGTGATTGTGTAACAATTTTATATATTAATAAATAATATTAATAATAAGCACAGATTATACTTGTAAAAACCAAGGTCTGTTTGTTATATTCACTCTCATTAATTCTGATGTATAAGATCTAAGTGATTGCGTAACAATTTTTTATATTAATACAGTGTGTTAAGAAAAAAATGGCGGTGACAAAAAATTGCATATCTCAACAATTACATAACATAATTAAATAAATTTAGATTCGTTTGAAAGTTTATCAAATTACCTTGTTAAATAAAAAAAATAGACATGATATGCTATTGCCAATTTTCTGTAAAGCTAATTCATATCTTTTTTTTAAAACTTTGCAAAATTTTTGTCTCTGAAATTTTAACATGGAAATTTTTAATAATAAGCCTGACACAAAAATATACATAATAATCATACAAAAAATTATACCAGTGTGTAATCAAAGTTCTGGAGATTATATATATAAACTTTCATACTTCCAGATTTTCTAGAATTTTGTCAATTGGAAATAAAAGGAATTTGATTATTTTGAAAAAAACAATTTAATGTGTAAATTTCTTTAATAATTGCTCTAAAGCCTACATAATAACATGCTTCAAAAATTTCATATGTTATAATCTAAGATCCTCCAATTCTCTGTTATAATTTTCATCATATAATTTTGGCTACCTTTTCATTAAAAACAATATTTTTACCAACCACCGTTTTTTTCTTAACACCCTGTAAATACTTATACAAACCAAGATTTGTTTTTTATATACAAGCTAGTATTAGGCTACTTAACTTTTAAGCATTTCTATTATAGTGTTGCTATGATAGTTTCATTTCATCAATTAATATTATAATAAATTAATAACCTATAAATAATTATAAATCAGTCTCTTATAATTAAAGTCAAAATTTTTCTAACACAACCTTTCAAGTAGTTATAAGTGACTTTGTAGTAGGGAACACTTTGGCACAATTGTTGCTGCTGAATTTGTTTTAGTTTGCATATTAATTGGAAGGAGATCTTAAAATAAGTGTGAAGAAAAGAAACACTTCTGACCTAGTGTAGAATAACCAATATTTAAGCTAGCCTTTTCTTTTAACTGTTGTTAAAAGTCCCAGTCTGGCTCTAAAAATTTCATTATGGTTGAAAATCACTTGCTATATGAAAAACTGAGTCTTTTTTTTGAAGTGGATGATAATAATTCTATTTGTGTAATGTCTATATTTATATTGAATGACACTTGATCTGCAATGTCCTGCAACTAATAGTAAAGTACATGTTTTAAAAAAGAATAGAACTCTACAACAAATAATTTTTTTGAGAAAATCTCTCTATTACATTAAACTAAAGGCATATCCTATCAACTAATAGAGCTATTTTTTTAAAAGGTAGGACAGAAAGTGACTTCTATACTTTTAAAATTCGCCCAAAATTTAGGAGGTCTTTAGACTGAGCCAACTATAGCTTGATTATTTATGGCCTCAAAGATGGTGCTGTTGTTGAAGCTAAACCAAAAGGATGGAATTATTTATTAAAAACTTGATCATTTTAGAATTATTTTATTATTATATATATATTTAATGTGCAACATAAGAAAATGATCCTCACTGTAAAAATTTATCCTTTCAGTTGTTATGAACAGTCACATGATACACTCTACCCTTAATGTAAATTTTTTTTTAAATAAAAAATTTTTTTAACCTCACACCTTGTGATAATCTTTAATTATTGGTTCTACCCTATTAAAATCAATATAGAATATGTATATTTTAATACATAGCACATCTTTCATCAAGGTCAGAAAACTGGTTTAGTGACCTTTTTTTTGTATACTATTACATTTTTTATAAAATTATTTTTTTATTTTCTTCAGAAAAATGATTGGCAAAAAGAATTTTTACTTTTGTCATGATGTCATTATGATCAGATGATTTAAAGCTAAGTTTAAAAATTTCCAAAAAGGCAAGAAATAAGAAAATCAAAAAATTCTGGTGCACAAACTAAAATTAAAGTTTGCAGGCAAATTTGCCTGCAAGAATATTGAAGGGATAGTAAAATTCATGTTACCCTTAACATTAATAGTCAAATGATTTGTCACACTAAACGATTGGGAAGTTGTGTTTTTTGAAATTTTTTGGCAATCAATGTCGAAATTCTATACATTAATAAAATTAGCCAAATTTGAGACACATATTTTTCAAGCATGGTGGATATTCTTATAATTGGTAATGATTTTCGTCGATCAGATTACACAAAAAAGAAAATTTGATTGGCCGAATAGATTACACAAAAATTTAGAGAAGAGGCTTTGTGACATATAAGTTTTATCAAGTAAGATATTGGAAGCAAATAATGCAAAACCATTAATTTAACAATAATCAAGAACAAACTACCTTGTTCCTATTATTTATGAAATAAATATATATTATACAAATTTAACAAATTTATTAATTTAACAAGAATTATAAAACTACCTCATTTCTATTATCTATGAAATAGATATAAATATATTATACAAATTTATTGATTTAACAATAATTATAGAAACAACTTACCTTGTTTCTTTTGCTTGCATTCTAAGGAAATAAACCCATTAATTTATGGAACAAACACCCTGTTTCTATTATCCACACCTAATAACAAGAAAAAATAAATATATTATACAAAACCATTAATTTAATAATAATTATAAAATGACTATCTTGTTTCTATATCCATGTCTATAACAAATAAATAAATAAAAAAATATATTATACAAAACTATTAATTTAACAATAATTATAGAACAACCACCTTCTACTATTCATCATTTATTCATCTAATAATAAGAAATAGATATACAAAGTAAATATATTATACCAAACTATTAATTTAACAATAATTATAGAATGAATACCTTGTTGTATCCCCCTTCAGTTTTTCCTTTAGTAGCTTCATTTATTGTTTAAAAGTTTTAGTTTCTTTACTTGTTTTTCTATACTTCGGAGCCTACTCTAATTTCGTTGCAAATTACACATCTGCCGCATAATAACATATTGGAAATGTTAGTACTAAGTAAAGTATGTCAAAATCGCGGATGCCGACGGATGCAGCTGGAATTAAGTTTAAAAAACGTCAAAGAATATCTCTGTAAAGTTACAGTTGTGTCACGCGTCAACGTATACCCATTTTAATTGAGCACACGGTTTTTTTACTTTAAAAATTACGTTGCACAGCATAAAAAATTGGTGCAACATTCGAATGTCCACCATGCTATTAAATGTATTAAAAGTGTTGAATGTTAAATCATGGTTGTGCTATATTTTTGTTTCAATGATCGACACATTTTGCCATCCATTTCTATATGATATACTGTGTAACTGAACTCTACCCCTAAATTTAAATTTTATTTAGCATTACACTTGTGTAACTCGGAAATTGGCCAATTCCCAAAATTTTTATTGATACTCTAAAATTTTATTGGAATGGCCAGAATTTATAATAGGATTTCGCACCCTGGTGCAATTGGATATTCATCGAATACAGTCAAAGTGTTCGTTATAGAGAGCATTCAATATAAAGAACCGTTGATCATATCATTTCATGATCACGTGATCGTGGTTTGAATAATTTATTGGCAAATAATAATTTTAAATTTTTTTGTCAATAATACTGTAAAATTTTTTTTTATGTTATAACAATAATAAATAATTTATGTTACATGGGAGTTTGTTATAGAGAGCATTATCTATTATATAAACTTGCATTTGGTTCCCTCAAAGACAGTTCATTATACAGAATATAAATTTAATTATAAAGTTTGTTATAGAGAGCAAATTTAATTAATAAAAAATCAGGAAAATCTTAGTTCATTATAGAGAGCAGTTTGTTTCTTGGAGGTTTGTTATAGAGAGTTTTGACTGTATTTGAATATTCATGATTGACAGAAATCAATATTCAAATATTCATGATTAAAATCACTACACATGTCATAAAGGGGTGTTACACTTATGTTTTTAATAGTGAGTGTCATAATTAATTTCTATTTTCTACCATCAAAATCACCAAACCAATTTGGGCTGCATGTATATTCCTGTTGGTAAAGTGACACAGACCCTATTGTAATTATAAGATTGTCCAAAAATTATAAATCCATTTGAATCTAATTCCAATCAAGTTTACCTGTTTAGTATCCACTGGTTTGACAAAAATAAACCATATCCAAACCATAGTGTGGGAATCCCCAATTATCTTTCGTACCAAGAACCTGGACCAGCATAATTAGAGTCACTAGAAGAGCTAGTGAGTTACCTATATACACAGTGAATCACATTTAAAGCTCCACATGAGCCAGCTCATGAGGAGCTTTAATCACATTAATTAACCAAACTCAGATTGCATGCTGACAATGGTATATCAATACTTTTGGAATAAACATTGGCAATAATCTTAGCCTAAAAATCTTAGCCTAAAGTTTTATTATTAAATTACTAAACCTGGAACATACTTTTCTATTTTTGGATGATAATATCAATGATTTTCACCACAATTACCCCTGCTTTTTTATATTTACAGTCAAAGCCCATTAAATCCATAGGTCTGGCACAGCAAATTTTATGAATTTATTGAATTGTTCCATTATCAAGAGAATATAAAAGGATAAGATTTTTAGAAAAAAATGAATGAGATTGGCTACTTATATATGAATTTAAAGAGTGTGATTTCATTCATATATGGTGACATATACAAAAGTCAGAGAGTTATGAATTATTGAATTATTCCAATTATCAAGATTTTGTTACTACTATAAACAAAGAGCATTTTGTTGAAGTTATTGGCTTCTTCATTAAGAATATAAATGTGTGGTGTTAAAGAATGAAGTTTGTTCCAATTCCAAATAAACTATGTTTTATATTGTGTTAAAATGTAGAATTTTCCAAATGTCTAAATAGCTACTGCAGTGGATGGATTTGGATTGGGATAGAGATGTTAATTGATTAATTTTTTGTAATCAATAATCAATTATAATTGATTTTTGATTTGTAATCAATTTTTACATTGCAAATAGTAGTAGTATTAGCTTTATTTGTTTTATGCTTATGAGTTAACAACTTTTACATATTACAGTATTAATAAAATGAAAGAATCTAGGTCACATGTCCAAAACACAATTGGATGTCACTTCAGTAAATTCCGTTTTATTTACAACATAAATTTTAAAATTTTATCTTTTATTATTCTTTGATGGGTAAAAAATTATCAACAAATTTTTTGATCTGTTTCAAAAAAAGAATATGGTCAACAGACTGTGAGCTAAGTCTATTTCATAACAAAGTAATTTGTTGTCCTGCATCAGAGAAAAGTTCTTCTGAAGGAACTGATGAAGAAGGAATGCCAAATATTTAATGGTTCATTTTCTTTAATAGGAAGCACTTGGGGTATGTTTTTATATGATTCAAATTCATCTCTGTCTAATTTGGCTATTTCTCTAGTTGAGACTTCTAAATTAAAATTGTTTCAAATATTAATATACTACTACTACTACTACTACTACTACTACTACTATTATTATTATTATTATTTATTACTACTACTATTGTTGTTGTTGTTATTAGTGCTGCTATTATTATGCTTATAATGTTTAGAATGAAGTATGTATATTAAATTATGTATGAATTTGTTTGTTAGGCTATGGCATTTAATTTTTAAAACCAGACTTCTAAAATTAAAATTGTTTCAAATATTACTATACTATTATCATTATTACTATTGCTATTATTATTGTTATTATCATTATTACTATTGCTATTATTATTGTTATTATCATTACTACTGTTAATTTATTTAACACTTGATTTTTTTTCGATTTTTTCAATTAAATCAATAATCAATTTATAATCAATTATAAAATTTTGTCAATAACTTTTAATCAATTGTGGGACACATAATCGATTTTATAATTGATTGTGGAAAAATCAATTTTTGTATAATTGATTAACATCCCTATTTTCACCCCTTGTTCTTTCTTCAGAATACTTCTAATGGTGCTATAATTCTTGGGTTCCATAGTAGATCTGATGTAAATTAACTTCATATTAACTATTTTTATGTAGAGGTAATTCTATATATCATTTAATATTAAGAAAAAAAAAAATATAACAAATGGGGGGATTTTAATAATCACATTACTAAATTTTGATCCCTGAAATTCTCAGCAATACAAATGTTCACTTTGGTTTTGTTGCAGCATGTCCCATATAATAACAATGAATTATTCACTGATATTACTACTAACCTTCATAAATTTGATAGAATTTCTATATAGCAGCAATTACCCAATGTTTTGTGTGTTAGGACAGGTGGCACAAGTGCTTTTGGTGTTTTGTTTACCTTCTCAAGTATAGCATCTAAATCCTAGTGTTGAGATATCCACTCAGACCTAGACACAACAGAATTTTGCTCAATAATTTGATGAACTTTAGGACAAAGGCATAATTGTTGTTCTTCATCAGCAATCTCAATTGATTGATAAATAGGCTGTCTTCTTGCTGATCAAATTGGAGCAAAATTCTTTGTGCCACTGTTTTAAGGAGAGGCTGTTCTATATATATAATACATCAATGAAAATTATGAAAACCAATCTAAACATCCAATCATGAATTTTATTTGAAATCTCACATCTAGATTCAGAATTTAGGTTGAGGAACCCATTATTGTTTGCTAATAAAGTTTAAATGATGCAGATCATCTATGTATTAATTGCTTATAGTAAACAATAGGTCAGCTTCAAAATACTAAAACAAAAATTTAATTGATAATAATAAGTTTTATTATTCATGATTCAAGTTTCAAACTTTATCAACTAGTTTTTTCTCAAGAATTGGTCGAGCATTAGCTTTTTGAAAATTCCAAATTTTATTATTGCATATTATTATTATACCAACACTTAAAAATATTGACTGAGGTTGTGTAATTATAATAGGAGCATAGTTGTTTGTTATACGATTATTTATAATAACATCTATGTGAAAATTCAATCGGTCATATGAAAACAAAAAATTTTTTTATTACTAGTATACTTTTGTCAACTTTAAAATCTCCAGATCAAGTTAGGTCAAATATTTTGAAGGGTAGTTGGTTCCTTATAATAAATTTGCATCACAATGAATTTTTTAAAATATTAATATAAATTCATTGAAATGTAATTAGTAATTTGGTATAACGAATTTTAGATGATAGATTCATTGAAACGAGATTTGACTGTAATTAATGTAAATAGGTATCTGAAAACTTTTGTTTAGAAGGTATAATAAAAATACAAATAACTTTTTGGTGAAATGGTTAATATTATTATTTATCAATTTATCATTGATTTTATTTTTAATAAATGTAGAGTAAATTCAGCGGCAAAGTTATATTCTTCTAAGATAGTACTGTTACTAGGCGACGAAAAACAATTGAACATTTAAAATTATCATATTATCATATATTGTTTATTATTCATTTATTGTTTATGAAAGTCATGAACGCGTGATTATATAGATAGATGCCAGAAAATTTCTGCTTGCACAAAGGAAAATTCAAAGGAAAACTTTGACGAAAAGAAAAATATTACTGAAATATTTCTATGGATGACGAGCAGGAAATTTTGATGGAAAAAGAATTTTTAGATTTTTACCTGAAGAGATTTTCATAAAAAGAGAATACTAATTAACCGACATGTATATACTGTATGTATAGGCGATTTGTTTTCATGTATTTTGGAAAAATAACCATGGGAAATAACTCTTTTGAGAATATTTCCAGAGTTTCGACTCGAACTTCAATCACAAAACCAAAAGTATTAACTTGTATAAAAAAATGGTACTACTATTTTACGTTACGAAACAAATCTCAAAGAACTCTTGGGGATGTGAACTTTTCCATATATAAAAATTTATTATTAATATTAACATTTGTTGTAAAAGAATAATATTCTTTACATGACGTTTTATTGAAAATTTATTCAAATCAGTTTTTAAAAATATTTCTTCTTGAATTTTATTCTCTCAAATAATATTTTTAATTAATTATCTTCTCTAAATTTTATAATAACTATTTTCCATGGCCTGACAAAAAATTAAAAAAAAAAAAATCTTTAAATCATTTCCAAAGCTTGATTTCTTATTGTAAACACGCTTTAATAATTTAGCTCATATAATAATTGAATATTAATTATAATTTATTAACTAGACTTCCAAAAAGAAAACAAAAACTTACAGCAATGAAAAAAAACTATCAACTATCAACTATAACAATATTTTTCGTCATAGATGGTAAAATTCTCAGACCTATGAATTTCTGGATTAGTGCTCAAGATCTTGGCGAAAGATTCATGTGGATGAAATAATTCTAAAAGTTGCAAGAATCCATGAAAAGCAGATAGTGCACCTTTATGAAATTTACCTTTGTTAAGAGTAAATCTTGAGTAAATGTGGATTTTTAATACAGATGAAACTGGCCTTATTTTATTGTATATTTCCAAATCAAGCTCTTTTATTCCAGGAAAAACAAAGGACTGCTTATTCAAAATTAATTTAAAGAGAGGTTAACCAATGCAACTGGTACAAGAAAACTTAAACCAATTGTAATCAAACCAAGATGTTTCAAAATATAAATATGTCTTTGTCACCGTAATTTAGAAGTTTACCTAAAAGCATGAGTGTGCAATGATATTTTAAACATTGGTTAAGAAATTGTTGGGAATTTATTATTCTAAAAAAATCCTTCAAAAATTTTTTTAAATTTCTATAATCACTTTCGTCAAACTCTAAACCATTTTTATGCTTAAAGCATTTAATTGATATATCCATTGCTTTCAAAAAATTATATCAGTTTATTCATCATTTACTCATCTAAGACCATTTAAACTATTTCATCATCATCTAAACGTTCTTTTGTCAAACTCAATTCATTATCATTAATATATTCAAAATTTCTAAATCACCATTAAGATTCGATTTCAATTATTTGATCAGTGCCAATTTGCTTTGATTGTAATTGTTTCTTCATTGGTTGGTAATTGATAAAATTCCTATTTATTTATTTAAAAAAATTTTTTAATCGCCAATTTTTTCAAAATTTTATAACAAGAGGAACCTTATATATATAGTCACGTTTGTTTATATAATATTAATATGGGAGTCTAATTGTGTATTTAATGAAAAAATTAACTTTATCACAAAAGATTTTTTTTTACCTTTAAGATTTATAACTTTTGTCATTTGATTCATGAAAATAAAATAATAATTACATAATGATCTCAAATTTTTATTATAGGACTCAAATTGGAGATTTGGACTTGCAACAAATTGGCCAGTTATTCTAGAATTGAAGACTAGAGTTACACTTCCTTAACACGAATCAGATTATCAGAAAATGATAAAGATGGGAGCCGAAATTAGTTGCAATTAATTGAGGATCCATCTTTAGAATGGGATTCTGGTACCTTATTCATTTGGCGGATTGATTGAATCCTATTACAATATCCCAAGAGCTTATAAGAACAAACAGTTATTCAAAAGATAAAAATCGATAATGTTATTATTATTAACACAAAGAATATTTAATATATATATATATATATATTTATTTATTTATTTATTTAACGAAATCGTGGGAAAGAAGGGAAAAAAAGTTTTGTTCATACAAGCAAAAAAACATTTAAACATTTAAAACATTTAATAACCATTTTATTTATTATTATTGTGTGTTTAAGTTTTTCATGTGGTTTTTTTATTTGGGTTTCACAAAATTGTGCTATTTTTATTTTTTATTCTACCACTAACAAATGAATTGTGGCAGTGTAACGTTAAATTTTAATATTTAGGACATTTGGCGACAAAGTCGCCCGGCAGAGAAGCAATCCAATATCTAAAAAAAAAATTTTTTTAAAATTCTTCAATAACAAGTTAACTAATTAGCTTGTTAAAACCCATTTAATATCACTAAAAAAACAAATTTATTGGTTTATTTATATGTATCATCACATTTATTATATTTTTATATAAAAGAAAAATAGTAATAATAATAATATATATATATACCTGTATATATCAAATGACTGGGAGTAGTCGTGCAATTCCGATCCACATGGCAGACTTTCATATATTAGACACATCTGTTGTATGGCTTACTCTTTATTTTTTTCTTAATCTGGCTTTAACCTTGTATAATAAAGCTGTTATGCAATTATTTGATTTTCCTTTTCCATGGACATTGACCGGAGTACATGCTTTATGTGGAGCGATTGGATCTTATACGTTTTACTGGTTGGGTATATTTCAACCTACACGTTTGAATGAACGGGAGAGTATGGTAATGTTGTTGTTTTCAGTTTTATATACCATAAACATTGCCATCAGCAATGTATCATTGTAAGTAAAAAAAGAAATATATATATTTTTTTTAATGTTACCGATTATGCTTTTTATCGATCTAAATAACAGCAAAAAAAAAATTTTTTTGATGGCATGAGCAGTCAAAATTTAACTCACACACACACATATATATTTTATTTATTTATATATATTTACACATGTACATATATACAAATTAACTTTTATCTTTTTATGATAAATTTTCTATTTCTCTAGACATTTAGTTACGGTACCAGTAAGTTATCATTTTTAATGAATTATATATGAATAATTAATTTGTGCATTACAGATCAATATCTGATCTAAATGATTTTTTAATGTCCGAAAGTTCCATCAAGTGGTACGAGCGATGACTCCACTATTTACTATAATACTCTCGATCCTTTTCTTAAAAAAGAATTTCCCAACAATGACTTATATCTCTTTATTACCGGTTAGTATTAAAAGGTGGAGTGATATGTTGATTAGAAGAATTTTAGGTTGATTTTATAAATTTTTATTATAATATAATCTTAGGTTGTTTTAGGTGTGGTATTTGCAACAGTTGGTGATTATTACTTTACAAAAATGGGTAAGAATATTATTTATTATTAAAAATAAAAATAATTGACAGACATATAATCTAATATATCTTTTTTTTTTTAAACAGGATTTTTTTTGACAATTTTAGGCACAATACTAGCAGCATTAAAGACTGTTGTAACAAATCGAGTTCAAGTTGGCCGTCTTAAGCTTCATCCATTGGATTTATTGTTACGTATGTCACCATTGGCATTTGTTCAAACCGTAATTTATGCTTATGTCACTGGAGAATTACATAGAGTTAGAGCTTTTAGTAAAACTGAAATGACAACATCATTAGTGATTGCATTAGCTACAAACGGCATTATAGCATTTTTCTTGAATGTGGTAAGCTTCACAGCCAACAAAAAAACGTCAGCTTTAACAATGACAGTTGCTGGCAATGTGAAACAAGTTCTATCAATTATTTTGGCAGTGATAATATTTAATTTAACTATAACACCAACGAATGGACTTGGAATATTTTTAACGTTGCTTGGAGGTTTGTCCTTTTCTTTTAAAAGATTTATATATCAATTCTTTTTTTTTTTTTTTTTATTAAACCTTTTTTTTTTTTTTTTTGAATTCTTGATTATTATTAGGTGCTTGGTATGCATACGTGTCAAAAAGATAACATCTTTAGATTGATGGTGATGGTGATGATGATAATGATAATAATAATAATATATATTTTATTAATTAAAACAAATATATATTTAATAATAATAGCAGTAATATTTAACTTAATTTTAACATATTATTTACATATAAAATAGACTTGATTTTGATAATAAACGAATATTTTTTTTTTTCAAATTTTTTATAATTGTTTAATGGCAAAATACTTTCTTTTTTTCTTTTTTTTTTTTTTTTTTACAATTAAATAATGAATAATTCCTAGAACACACATATCTAATTAGCATCGTTATAAAGTTTTTTTTTGTCTTATTTAAATGATTATCATTAACTGTTTACATTTCAAACGGTTATATTCCTCCACTACCAAGCCTATTCCACAAGTATAAATATTAGTTAGTATTAAACGTTGTGTTTTTATTTTAAATATTTTAACGCTAATTAATAATTTACCTATTACATAATGCAATATTACTGGTTTTACATGTCACAAGATGCCAAACCCGGCCAACATCCTCCACTTATCCATTACAGCGAGAACAGATAATGGAAGTTCTGAATTCATCGTATCTCCTAGCTCGGCATGCTTTTTTTCGGTTGCAAACGATGAAAAAATCCATCTTCATATGCTACAACTGTTCTTCCGTTATTTTTGTAACAGTTTCATGATAAGCCTTCTGCTTTTTAATATATGTCTTAAAACGAAGATTGTGCCAACTACCATTAAATTCAAGTAGTGTTGGAAAATGCTCAAGATAATAATGCGGATATTCTCTGTATTGAGCAAATGAGGTGACAGATGAAGTCGGAAGAGCTGCAATGTTCCAGGATACAGTTAGACTTAATTAAGATAAACATCAACTTGACTAACCTCTTATTATTTCTTTCACTGTGCGGTTTTCTTATGCCAGTTTCTATTTTCTCTTAATCCTTTGTGCTACATTTAATGGTTTGATTTCTATCCACACCACACGAAGCAACAAATAAGGTTTTTCTTCCCGAGTCCAGCTCAACTCATCTGTCACCCACCAGGTTGAATGTCTAATGATTGGTAATCCCCATCTTAATCAAAACCGTAACCATTTATACCATCCCGTTAGGATAGAAACACTCACAGCATCTGTCATGATGCCAAGGCCAAACCTTCGCCCCTTTGTATCATCATTAGGTCGTGTAATCACCTTTGAAAAAAAAAAGAGAAGGTTTACCTTGGGTTTTACAAGTGAAGAAGATATTGTAGTAGATCAAAATAAATATTCGCCTTATCAATATTAAATGTAAGTCTTCACCAGTTTAAGGCATCGTTTCCAAATTCTGTCATTGTTAGTCCATGCCTTCCCAAAATCAATTGAACGGAACAAATCAAAAAGAGCAATTGTTTGAATTAGAATATATCTGTTTTAAAACTGGCGATAGGTGCAAAGTCAAATGAGCAAAGGCCACAACCCATCCTTGTTTTTTCTCTCGCTTGAGCATCTCTCCTGTAAGGAGTAATTGATTCAATGATGGAAATGACGGAAGTTGGCAAGTTAAAATGGCTTTGAGGAGCGAGCATTTAAAATTTAAATACACACATATATATATATATAATCTAACTTGGATTATCTAACCAATAGAGCTAACTTATTTTTAATTAGATATTTTATTCATCATAACAAGTAACAAGAATAATATTTATTTTACAGTACTAAATCAAAATATATAATTAAAAAAATTTTTACCTAACAGCATTTCACACTTCATTTAGACCATCGATTGATAGTTGCAAACAAAAAATTTGTGATATATGAACATGAATATCATTTGAACAAATGAGGAAATTGATGATAATAATAATGATACCAATCAGTATAATAGATACAATAATAACATCAGAAAATATTGAAATTATAGAAGAATTCAATAAAATTATTTATAATATCAAAAATACTAAAAAAAGTCTACTCTACGACATCAAACACAAATGTTTAAAACTGATAGATCTTTGATGACAATGTGGTTTTGAGATATGAAGGTGTTTGCAAATTGTTGGTTTTTATTTTATTTATTGTTATTATTATATTGTTATATAATTCTTATTATTGTTGTTATAATGTTTTATAATATATGGTAAAATCGAAAAAATTCTTCAGTACATATTGAAATCCCTCAAAATCAATGATAATGAAAAGTATATTCAAGCAAAACATCTCCATTTTACAAGCTTTTAACCACTTGTATTATAACCAGTTTTTCTA